GAACTAAAGAGCCTCTTGATGAAAGTGAAAGAGGAGAGTGAAAAAGTTGGCTTAAAACTCAACATTCAGAAAACTAAGATCATGGCATCTGGTCCCATTACTTCACGGCAAATAGATGGGGAAACAGTGGAAACAGTGACAAACTTTATTTTTTTGGACTCCAAAATCACTGCAGATGATGACTGCAGCCATGAAATTAAAAGATGCTTGCTCCTTGGAAGAAAAGTTATGAACAACCTAGACAGCATCTTAAAAAGCAGAGACGTTACTTTGCCAACAAAGGTCTGTCTAGTCAAAGTTATGATTTTTCCAGTAGTCTTGTATGGATGTGAAAGTTGGACTATAAAGAAAGCTGAGTGCTGAAGAACTGATGCTTTTGAACCATGGTGTTGGAGAAGACTCTTGGGAGTCCCTTGGACTGCAAGGAGACCTGACCAGTCCATCCTAAAGGAGATCAGTCCTGGGTGTTCATTGGAAGGACTGATGCTGATGCTGAAACCTGATGTAAAGAACTGACTCATTTGAAAAGACTCTGATGCTGGGAAAGATTGAAGGCAGGAGGAGAAGGGGATGACAGAGGATGAGATGGTTGGATGGCATCACTGACTCAATGGACATGAGTTTGAGCAATCTCCAGGAGTTGATGAACAGGGAGGCCTGGCATGCTGCAGTCCATGGGGTTGCAAAGAGTTGGACATGACTGAGCAACTGAACTGAACTGAACCGAACTGACTAGTTTTATGTTTCACTCTCTAATTTAGCCAGAGAACCTAGTTCATGGCTAAGATCCATCACTTTATTAGTTTCTTCAATTTCATTGCTAAACATTGAATTTCTTTTCTGAGTCTTTTTTTTTTTTTTTTTCTCCCTACACCATGTAGCTTGCAGGATCTTAGTTTCCCTACCAGGGATTGAACCTGGACTATGGCAGGAAAAGGGTCACGTCCTAATCACTGGAGTGCCGGGGAATTCCGAAAGTGGGGCTATTATCATCTTTATTTTACAGATAAGAAAGCTGATGCTTATGAATTTAAGAGATTTCACCAAGGAAGGCCATCAGTTAATATTAACAGAAGTAGGATTCAAATTTAGGTAAACAATTCTCAACTTCATTCTTTCAATCATACAGCTATACTGTTTCCTCTCCTTGGCTAATGTATAAAATCCAAATTTCCTCTTTCGCTCAATTATAGAGTGCTACATGTCATGAACTTTTCTGGTCAAAGCTGCAAATGTTAAAATAGTAAATGCAAAGAGTCTTCTTTATTCTCTCATTTTCTAATTGAGAACAGAGAGGTTCAGGGAGGTCTTATATGGAGAAAGTGACAGAGCTTGAATCTCAAAACAGATCAGTGTGGCTCCAAAGTCACATCACACTGACTAAAGATCTTTTTACCCCATTAAAACGGAATCAAGGTGAAAGCTTCCATTCACATTTACAAAATACATTTAACTGTATTACTAATAGTTCTAGTTATAGGGAACATTATGACTAGCTCTTAAATTGCATCATATGATTTTGAACTTAGGGCTTCTTAAGTCATTTAAAACATAGAAATGCTCACAAATGGTCTTGCAAAGAGTTGGACAGAAAGAGGACAGAAACACCTTAAGTATTACCATGAACATTTTTAAATACACTTTTTATCTTGGAATAATTTTAGAATTGTCAAAAAGTTGCTTGGACAGGACAGAAAGTACACATATACCCCTTCCAGATTCTCCCACGGTTAACATCTTATGTTATCATTGTATATTTGTTAAAATTAATAAACTGATATTAGAACATTAATAACCAAACTACAGATTTTATTTGGGCTTCACCAGGTTTTCCATCAATGTACCTTCGGTTCCAGAAACCTATCCGGGGTACCACATTGCATTTAGTTGTGATGTCTCCCCAGTCTCCTCTGGTCTATGACAGTTTCTCAGTCTTTAATTGTTTTTCTAGAGCTTAACTGTCTTGAAGAATGCTAGCCAGATATCCTGTAGTGTCCTCCTATCTGGATTTTTCTGATGTTTTTGTCATGTTTTGACTGGGGTTATGTTATGAACATTTTCAAGTGAATGGAAAAAGAGAAATAATCCAAAAAATGTTATAAAGAAAGCAGTCTTAGTACGTTTTTAAAAACATGAATCTCGTGTAAAAAACGTTATTAATTCAACAAAAATCTATGAAGCACCTATTATGTGCCAGGCACTGAAGAAGAGTGGTCATTAAAGGCCTCTTTGAGAAACTGAGAGCACCCCAAATAACAAAGTAGAACTAGATAAGAGCAAAGATTGGGAGAAGAACATCTTAGAGAAAGGAAATAACAAGGCAAAGGATTTATAGCAGAGGTAAGCAATGTATTTTAAAAGCTTCAATAAAGGCAGAGTGGCTGGGCCATTGGTGAAAGAGAAAGAGTGGTAGATGAGCTGAACAAGGCAGACAGGGCTAGATAACTTTGGGTTTCACCAATGACCATAGCAAGGAATATGCTTGTTGAGAGAGATGGGAAGAGAAAGATATCATCTAATAAATTTTTAAAAGATCACCACTGTGGAGTGCTGCGTGGAGTATAAACTCTTGAAGGAGTGGGGGCAGAGCAGAAACCAGGAGCTAGGAGACAAATGCATTGGTTCAGGCAAGAAATGATGGTGATTGGAGTGAGATGGGCAGCAGTGGATACAGAGAGGAGTGGTCAGAGACTTCCCTGGTGTTTCAGTGGCTGAGACTCCATGCTCGCAAAGTGGGGGGCCTGGATTCAACCTCTGGTTGGGGAACTAGATCTTACACACTGCAATGAGGACACACGCAGTCAGTTTTTAAAAAATGGTTGGATTGGGATATATTTTATTTCAGAGTGGGAAGCAACAGCCCTTAGTAATTAATTGAATATAAGATGAAGATCCTCAAGATTTTGGTTTGATAGACTGAACTGAGGATGGTGTAGGCTATTGAGATGGGGAGAATTGAGAAAGTAAATATTGCAGGAGGTAGGTGGGAGACTTGGAAATCAAATGTTTTACTTTAGTCAAGCTAAATGTGAGACATTTTGAGTCATCGAAAAGGTAGATAGATGCATGCATTTGGAGCCCCTGGGAGAAGTCAAGGCTGGAGACATAAAATCTATATGTAAAATAAACAAACACATATACATGTAATGGCAATAATTTTATTTACTAGGAAGGTAGCCATACCTATTTGTTCATTTATTTATTAATCAATTCTGCATTCATATACTTATCCACAAATATTTATTGTATATATACCAGGATATCAGACTCTAGTACATTCATGCCAATGGCATTTAAAGAGAAGAGTGTGCAACCAGAGATGGTGAGTGGTGGAAAGAAAACATTAAAACTTTTAAAAATATTTCTTTTTTATCTAAAAACAAAAGTTAAGTCTTTCAAACATTTAATACATAGATTGACACTGGCATCTCACTACTGAGTGAAAAGTGTGAGACAACAAGGAGAATAATTTGGAGATCTCTTCATTTTCTTTTGTCTTAATATATTGTGATTTCCTCCAGTTTAGGTGTGCTGGGTTAAGTAGATTTACCAATTATATTGTTATTTCATTAACCCCCACAAAAATGAAAATAGTTAAAAAAGATTTCTGGAAAGAAAACATGGGCTGGAGATAATAAAGCAGGCATAAAGGGGAAGATGATAGAGATGACATATCTGCTTCTAGCATGAACTCTACGGAAGCCATCTTATTAAGTAGTGGGCATGACATTTTGAAATCAGAGATTTGAGAATATTTCCATTACGTGATTTTTTGATGTAAGATGACATATTGTGTGCTATCCAAGGCTGGGGCTATAGTGAGGCACGCACTTCGGGCCCAAAATTTAAGAGGATGCCCCAAACTCAGCAATCAAGATGAACATCTACATGCAGTATTTCTAAAAGTCAAAATTAATGCAAAAATCTATGATACACAAAATATCAAAAATTTAAATACTCACAAGATCAGTATTCAAAAAACAAACAAATAGCTTATACATGTATACTAAAACTTGAAGGCAGAATTTTCCAACCTGTTAGAAGAAATCTTCCAAGCAATGCATTCCAAAGAGTTTTGAAAATATATAAAAACACAAATTCTTATAACTGACATCAGGGAAGACAGAAAGTTACTAGTTGAATTTCAAACAGAAACTTTTCATGGTTGGTGGATGGAAGTGACAAAAATGGATACTTGCATTAGTAAGAGCAGCCAAAGATGTGTTTCTTCCATTAGGATCTATGTATCTTTGTGAGTTATCTTTTTCAGCTTATGACAGCAGTTAAAATGAAGTACAGAAATAACCTGAACGTTGAATCACATATTTTAATAACTGTTTCATAAAGTAGTACAGATTTTTAAAATCACTGAAACCTAGTCAATCATATTGCTTTCACTAAATATTTTTAGTGAAAATAACACGGATTTTTAAAATATAATTAATATAGCTACTTTAAATGTTTATTTCATCTCTATCCTTTTTACACTTTAAAAAGGCTTTACATCATACACAACAGGACGTGTCTAAACTTACATAAGTATAGAGACTTATTCTGTAATACGGAAGCGCAATAAAAGAAAACGTTTGGAGAGCACACACAGTTTAGACAGGTAGTTGATACTGTGGGTGTTAGGAACGTATTATCTCCGAGTGCGAAAACATCGCTGTACCACAGAAGTCTTCAAGAAGGACATCCCACCAGGTTTTCATAAGGGGAGGTTTGAGGAATGAGCAGGATTTGGAAAAATAACCATCGCAAAATTTGCTGTCTATAAAACAGTACAATGCTTACTGCCACAGGAGATTAACGTACTTTAAAAAAGAGGATCCTAGGTCCAAACTGAAGCCCTACTCTCTGAAGCTATCTCAGCCCAAATGGCCCAGCAGAGTGCCGCTCTGATGGAGGGGGGCTGGAGGGAAAGTGATACCTCTTTCGCGAGCTATGAACTTGTCCCCTCCCCAAGCAGGAGACCAGACTTGAGGTCCCTCGAGCCGAGCCCTCGGGAGGGTGGGGAGAGGGGGAAAGAAAACGCAATCCTTTCTGGCTGGGACCGTGTCTGAGGGCGGAGGCCGGGAGACAGTCCGTGATGCTTTCTCTTCCAGGCAGAAGCCGGAAGTCTGTAAAGAGAGAAAGAGTTCAGGAGCTCTTCCAACAGGGAGGGCGAGCAGTGTTGGTAGTAGGGCCAGAGGTGAGGCTTCAGGGTCGCGTCTCTCCCCGGTGGGAGGAGAGTCCGAAGAGCCCTGAAAGGCATGGAGGACCTGAGGCCTGGTCCTTTCGCTGCCGGCAGGGGGAGTCCCGAGATGAACAGTCTGGAACCCCTCTCCGAAAAGCGTTTCCTTGACCGCTCAACCACTTTTATACATCTCGAAGCCGAGTGAGAGCTGAGGTAATTAGTTGAGAGCGACAGCTGTCTGGGCACCTTGGGCGCCAGGCGACGGGCTCGGAGCCCGACGGCCCGAATTCTCGCGAGAGCGGCCGCCGCCATTTTTCCATTGATTGCAGCGGGCGGGGGGAGGGGCCGAAGACGAAGGCGACGGCGGCGGAACCTTGGGTCGGTGTCTGCGCGTTGGTGTCTGAGGCCCAGGTTGAGGCCTCCGCGATAGCCCGAGCGCCGGCGGTGGAGAGGATGACTTCCGCTGCCGTTTTTCTCCTGAGCTAGAGCGGCGCCGCCACCCTCCCCCTCCTCCGGCAGGGCGGAGAGGAGCGGCCGGAGTCTGAGCGATGGTGCCCGGCGAGGAGAACCAACTGGTCCCGAAGGAGGTGAGGGGCCGGCGGAGGAGGCTAGGCCCGAGGCCTGCGGCCGCTGCGAGCAGCGCAGGCCGGGGGCGAGGGGCGGGCTGCGGGCCCAGCTCGTGGGCTGGCCCGGCCGTGGGGGAAGGAGGAGGTGTGTGGTGCGGGGCTGCGGGGCGGGAGTGGGGTGGGGGTGGTGCATGGTGGGTGCGGCGGGCAGTTGGGAAACCGGGCTGGATCTCGGGGGTCGGGGGAGCGGAGACCTCTCCCATTGGATTTGTGGTGCTGGACAAAAACGGAGCGGACTGGAAGGAATCTGGTCCTGCTCTGCGGGGAGAAGGTAGCTTAAGTATTTAACATATTGAGCCAAGGTGGAGAGGTAATTTCAAAGAAAAAATTCTGCAACAGTGGCCGATGTGCACGACAGGGTGACGGTGCTGCTTCTGGTTTTGACAGTGGCATAGCTCTCAGGGCTTGTGAAATCTACGCCCAACTTGAGCTTTGTGCGAGGGCAGTTAACTGTTAGGACTTTTTTGAACTCCTGTTTCTTACTTGGTGGTACTATGGGCCTGCCTAAATGGGGCCTACCGAAGATCGTTGAAAAGTAGTAAATGTGACTTTCAAGTAAAGGTAAGAGGCAGCGAAGCATTACCGTATGGAGAGTTGAACTACTTTTTGTAGTTGGGTTGTGTATGCCAGTTTGGGTGACTTACATTCTTAAAAGCAAGTGATATGAGAAGGCTTGACTTCTTGGCTTCTCTTGAATAGCAGGAGAAGATTAATGATAGAATCCAGCACTGGCCAGTGAATTTCAATATATTAATAGTATCTCTGTTGGCTTTATAAATATCTTCAGGGTGTCCAAATGTGTATTTTTAACTGGCTGATCATCAGGCGAATGCTTTGGATTTTTATTTCTCATATACCTCAAATAAATGCAAGTGTCGGTTGAAATTAGCAATATCGGATCTTGATAGTTTTGGGTGATGTTCTTAGAATTTTTTAATTCTTTTTTTTTTGCCTTTTTTGGTTGTTTTGTAGCTGTTTGTTGCTACTTGAGCAAGCCCTGACTCTGCAAAAGTATTACTGGAGTTGTGTATAAGTGATAGGAATATTTTCCCAACTTTATCAGATGATTGTTTTGCAAGAACAGTTTTTTAAAACTCAGTTCTTATGTGTCAGTATTTATTCATCAAGCACCACCTGCACAGAAAATAATAAACAGATGAATTAATCAGAATTTTTGCCTTGGGTACTTCTAAGGCAACACTAAACACTAGTATTCATGGAGCTCCAAGTAGGGGCTAAGGAATTTTCGACAAAAGTAACTCTTAAGCAAGGATGAAAGTGATAGATACTATGAGATAGATATAAAAATGAATTTTCTTTTAGAGCTACGCAGTGCTGGTTTTCATTTCCGTGAAAAGCAAAGTTAGTCCTTTCTTAATTTTTTGACCATTGGAAAATATTGGTGGAACTTTGCTTTATGAAAGCTCAATATTAGGTTTATTTCCCTAATAATTTGGTTTATAGACAACATGATATAGATATACACTTCCACAGGAACATACCTGCAGTGCTGCTTTTACCTTTTGGATTTTAGAGGTTAAATGCCTCACTGATGGGTGGGAAGGGAATTGGGGGGCGGGAGGGAGATCCAAGAGGGGAGGGATATATGTATACATACAGCTGATTTACTTCCTTGTACAGCAGAAATTAAACATCATTGTAAAGCAACTATACCCTAATAATTTTTTTTTCTTTTTAAAGATTAAATGCCTCTCCTTTAAGACTAATTCCTTTACCTGAGGCTTCAAACTCACCCTGAGTTCTGACGTTTTTGTTTCTTACTCCTTCTGGATCACGTGCCTTTATTTTCTATTCCCCAGACTCATTTTCAGTCTTTTCTTTTTCCCTCACTCCTTTCATGATTCCTGGAAGCATGCACAGTACTCTCAAATCTCAGGTCTGTCATTTTTTTCACTAGTTAAGTGGTTCATTCTTTTTTGATGGCTGTACTCCTTGCCTGCTTCTCTTCCTTGAGGTTTCTTTTGCATTTGATGCTAAAAAAAAAAATCCTTGATTTTAGTACTGCTGTATTTTGGGGTGTTTTTTCCGTACCTGTTTGTCCTATCTGGTCACTCATTTGGTCAATGTCTTTCTCTTTTTCTGTATCTTTAATTATCACTTTTGTCTGATCTTTGTCATCCTCTGTCTGGTAGAAGTAGAATTATATAGTGTTAAAGCTGAGAGAGCACATAGTGATGTGATCATCTGGTATTATAACTTATGCCCCTTCACTTTTACAGATGAGGAAATTAGGGCCAGAGGTTTGGAAAGGACTTGTTCAGGGTCACATAATAAGTAAATAAATGACAGAGCTAGGACTAGAACTCAACATCCCCTTGATTATCCTCTTATTTTACACATCCCTCCATGTAACCTAGAGGCTCTGTAAGAATGGTTTGTAACTCTCTAACTGTATTTATTATGTGAAAGTAAATTACAGAATTTTAAAATGTCTTGGTTCTGTTCTAATGGCTTATTACCAACTATATGGAAAGCTTTATCTTTTTTTTTTTAGAAGGGAACCTCTGAAAAAATAAAGGGAACCTCTAACCCTTACTAGATTTAGATATATTGATAAAGTATATGCATTCATGTGTGTGCAGTTGTTGAATGAATAATATATTATTCTGGTCCCAGAAGCTCAAGGACAAAACTGTACCTTAGATTGCTGAGGAAGGCAGCTAAGTGTCATGCAGGGCTTGGCAAACTACAGTCACTGGGCCAAATTCAGCCTGTAGCCTGTTTTGTTTGGCCCATGAATTAAGAATGATTTTTACATTGTCAAATTGTTGAAAAATATCAAAATAATAATAATCTGTGATACATGGATGTATATGAAATTCAGATTTCAGTATTCATAAATAAAGTTTTATTGGAACACAGCCATGCCCATTTTTTACTATTGACTGATGGCTATAGTAAAGTAGCTGATACAGATGCTGTATACAAGATACAATTGAAGCTACTTAGCTTGGTGTTCAAGACCTAGTATTGATACAGTTTGATTCTGGCCACAATCTGCCCTTTCAGAAAGCTTATCTCTTCTCCTTCAAAGCAAGTTTTTAATGTAGCCAAACAGGTTTTTCTTTAACTTGCTTTTCACTTCTTTTTGTGCTGCCTCCTCTTTCCTACTTCTGCCCACCAATTCAGAACATTCATACACATCTTTCCTTAAGTATCTCATATCTCATTTATTCTTAAAAAACTTTTCTGACCATTTAACCTTAAAGATTTCTCCTCCTTAGAAGATTTATATATGAACAGAATTCATTTGCCAATTAGTAAATAGTGCTTTTGTCATCTCTTATGGGCTTCCCTGGAGGCTCAGACGGTCAAGCGTCTGCCTGCGGTGCAGGAGACCTGGCTTTGATCCCCGGGTTGGGAAGATCCCCTGGAGAAGGAAATGGCAACCCACTCCAGTACTCTTGCCTGGAAAATTCCATGGATGGAGGAGTCTGATAGGCTACAGTCCATGGGATTGCAAAGAATCAGACACGGCTGAGCAACTTCACTGGTTCACTGGTCATCTATTATAGTCTCAACTGTATTTTATTAGTATTCATTATGGATGTCTTGCCAGCAGAGATCTTTATGTGTCTCTCTCACCCGTGCTTTTTTTTTTTTTTTTTTTTTAATGTACTATAGGTTTAGGTTTGTCTAGGTTTGTGAAGATATAGGTTAGTACCCTGTCTAGGTTTGGCTAGGTTTGTGTAGATCTGGTTTGTCTAGGTTTGACAGACCTAGACAGTGTATTAAAAAGCAGAGACATCAGTTTGCTGACAAAGGTCCATATAATCAAAACAATGGTTTTTCCAGTAGTCATGTATGGATGTGAGAGTTGGACCATAAAGAAGGCTGAGCACTGAAGAATTAATGCTTTTGAATTGTGGTGCTGGAGAAGACTCTTGAGAGTCCCTTGTATCAAACCAGTCAATCCTAAAGGAAATCAGTCCTGAATATTCATTGGAAGGACTGATGCTGAAGCTCCAATACTTTGGCCACCTGATGAGAAGACCCAGCTCATTGAAAAAGACCCTGATGCTGGGAAAGGTCAAGGGCAGGAGGAGAAAGGGATTACTGAGGATGAGATGGTTGGATGGCAGTGAACATGAGTTTGTGCAAACTCCAGAAGATTGTGAAGGACAGGGAAGCCTAGTGTGTTGCAGTCCATGGGGTCCCAAAGTGTTGGACACAACTGAATGACTGAACAACAACAACTACTATAGATCTCGGATAGTGTCCTTTCTGAAGCAGATCTTCAGTAATATTCATTGATCTGGTTACAGGGTTGCAAGGAAACCAGTTTCTAACCAATTTCCCCTGCTTGGATGTTTTCCATAACATCCTTGGCAAGCTGTTTTCCAACCTCAGCTTGAATACCTTCATGACATCTCAGGTAACATCTTCGTCTTTTAAGAGATCTGTTTTAAGTTTTTGAGCTGAGAGAAGTTCTCTATAACTGCCATCTTTTGATTGTTGGCTCTGGATAGAGAAATTTTAAATCATTTTCCAAAGGATAGGTTTTTTTTTCATTATTGAACATGGGGGAAGGGAGTAGGAGGACCAAGCTCTGTTCTAAAGTCTGAGCATCCCTACCAACAGTGTAAGAGGGTTCCCTTTTCTCCACACCCTCTCCAGCATTTATTTATTGCTTGTAGACTTTTGGATAACAGCCATCCTGACTGGCATGCAGTGGTACTTCATTGTGGTTTTGATTTGCATTTCTCTGATAATGAGTGATGTTGAGCATCTTTTCATGTGTTTGTTAGCCATCTGTATGTCTTCTTTGGAGAAATGTCTGTTTAGTTCTTTGGCCCATTTTTTGATTGGGTCATTTATTTTTCTGG